CCTAATGATTTAAGCTCCCAGACCCCTCACTCCCAGCTAAAGCCTCTAAGTATCATGGAATAGATAAGCCATCCCTACTGTGCCCCATCCCAATTCTGTATCCAACAGAATCTAGGAGCATAATAAAAAAAGGTTTTTCTTTTACACTATTTAGTTTGGGGTGGTTTGTCATTCAGCAATAGATAACCAGAACAAAAGATGTCTTTACCAAAATTGCTCTATAGGTTCAATACAATCCCAATTAAAATCTCAGCAGAAAAAATGGAAAAGTTGATCCTAAGATGCATATGGAATCACAAGAGACATGGAGAGTCAAAACAGTATCACAAAATAATGAATCTGGAAGACCCATACTTCCTGATTTCAGAAGTTACGACCAATCTACAGTGATCAATATAGTATGGAATTAACATAGGCATGTAGATCAATGAGTCCAGAAATAAGCCTCTATGTTCAGCTGATTTTCAAGGATACCACGACCATTCCAAGGGAAAGAATAGTCTTTTCAACAAATGGTGTAGGTCTAATCTTTAGAAGGGCTTGCTTACAAGGTTGGCCCTCAGGTGGCATCTAGAAACTTAGCTTTTGAAATTTTCTTTATTTGATACGATTGTATTGGTTGTGCTAGCCTGACCAGACTGTTCTAAAAACCATGTGATTTACGGTAAACACCTGCTCTTCTCAGAAATTAGAATTTTGGTGGGCAAAGGGTGCCTACATGATTTAGCACCCAATAAAAACCCTGGGCTTTTTAAACAGGCTTCCCTGGGCAGAAATACTGTGCCCATGTTAATGCATTTCACTGTTGGAGGGAGTACGCTCTGTGTAGCTCCTTCAAGGACAGCATAGGAAGCCTGCACATGGGTTCCTCTAGACTCCAATTCCTCTAGTCTTTTCCTTTCTGATCCAGCTGTGTATCTTTGCTCTGTCACTATAATAAATCTTAGCTGTGAGTATGACCATATGCTTAGTCTTATGAATCATCTTCACACACTGAATGTGTGGGTGGGTGTAGACTGTCAAAATGAGTGGATCAGGGGGCACCTGGGTGGCTCAGTGGGTTGAATGTCTGACTCTTGTTTTTGGCTCAGGTCATGATCTCAGGGTCATGGGATGGAAACTCGCGTTGGGCTCCATGCTCAGCACAAAGTCTGCTTGAGGTTCTCTCCCTCTCCCTCTGCCCCTCCCCCCATTCACATTCTGTCTTTCTAAAATAAAATCTTTAAAAAATGAGTGGGTCAGAAGTGCCAACACAAGTGGTGTCACAACTGGTCCCCACAATATGTATATTAAGAGTTTACAATACTGTATTTCATACACAACTCATAGTGATCTTTTGAACTAAAGAGATCTTCACGCAAACAAATTATATGGGGAAAACATAGCTCAGATCTTATACATTTGCCAGCATAATAAAAGCAGCTTCCTCCTGAGGTAAGAAAGGCACATCCCTTCCTCTATAGTAGAACCTAATAGAGTGCTAAAATAAGCTTTTAAATAAATGTATCTTATTACAAAAATGCCTCCAAATGCTGATATTTTTAGGTGAATATTCCCTCTTTCTATTAGTTCAAATCATTTACAATTTAAAACCACCTTCTTATATAATAACAGGACAATGGCAGCAGAAATTTAAATGTAATATGATACAAACAAGTGATATAATGCTATTAAGTTGTCATGAACATACTTTTACCTTACAGATTATTTCTACAACCAAAAACATCAGCTGTCCGCAAATTTTTAATTCTATTACTGAAAAAACTCCTGGTGAAAGCGTATCAATTGTTTAAGAAGAGTTTGCTGACATCATCACCCAGTACAGGGGAAAAAAAAAAGTAGAAATGACTAATTATCCATACATAGCAAGTTTTACAAGTGAAATTAAACTGATAAGAACAGATACTACAATTGATACTCTTTCAGAAAAATGAAAATAAACCTATTTTCGGTAAAAACTGTTGAATCATTTACTTGATTCCTGAACAAATCTAGACACTAAATTATACCACAGGCTATTTAATAGGGTGATTAGCATAGCACTGCCATAGGCATTGCTTGCTAATACAGGAAGATGTTTTACACATCAAATAAAATGATAAAAAGCCAAATAGTGAATAAGACACTCTTTCTATTCAGTATATAAATTTCTCAGTATAGAGAAAATAAAATACTATAATTATATCAAACAACCAGCAAGAATTATAACCACAAAGGCTTTACCAAAGCCTAGTTTGCCAACTGCTATTCAGCACCCAGAAAACCCTGGGTCAAAAAATAAGATTGAAAACTGGTGTCTGAAATGTTAATTAGATGAATCTTCTCTTATCTGTACAACTATTAGAACAGTAAGAGAAGCACTATTAAAAAAAACGTGAACTTTCACAAATGACGTGCATTACACTTTAGGGCTAATGAATTGTATTTAAGCCCGTTTTAAGGAAAAAATTTTTGAAAGTCCTAGTACACAGTTGATGAGTGATAAAACTGAACTTCTAAAGTTCAGGTTTGTTATTATTTTATTATACTGATAATCACTTAAAAGATTTAAACTAAAGGGGCGCCTGGGTGGCTCAGTCATTAAGCATCTGCCTTCGGCTCCAGTCATGATCCCCGGGTCCTGGGATCGAGCCCCGCATCCGGCTCCCTGATCCGCGGGAAGCCTGCTTCTCCCTCTCCCACTACCCCCTGCTTGTGTTCCCTCTTTTGCTGTGTCTCTGTCAAATAAATAAAATTAAAAAAAAAAAAAGATTTAAACTAAAAAGATAAGCAATACTCTTGTATAACAGACCAAATCCAGCAATTTGAATACACTGAAGCTCTATTTATATGGCCATGGCTAAAGCATTGATCACATTTTCCATGGCTGGTTCTAGTAACAGGACTGATGATTCTACAGCATAACTCAGAACTTCATTGACTGAACTGGACTTTGAGTCCAATTCAAATTGACTACCAACAAATAAACATGATAAAAATAGTTTCATAACCAAGAATCTCTTTTAATCTGAGAGGAAAATTAATTTCCCCAATCTTTCCACCTTAAAAATACAGAACTATGAGAGCAGGATCCTGCAAAACATCAACAGCTGAATCGTGTACAAAGATAAACTGATCACTGAAATAAAGTAATAAAAGAAATGAAAAACTACATGTGGTATTTTTATCAAGTTTTTTTAAAAGTTACTCTTGAATATTAACTCTTAAGGTTGCCCTTGTGCTCTGTGTTTGTGTTTCTCATTTGATACCTTATGATACTTTGCAATTGATAAGTAGTTGATCTACAAAATAAATTTTAAATTTTCCCTAAACAGTTTAAGGACTAGGGAGCAAGGGGGATAACTTAAAGCAAAAATGAATAATTATATACGGTTTACATAGGGAGGTGTAAAGCCTGTACTCCAAGAATCATATGCAAATATGGGAGATGAGGGTGAGGTTGTGTTTACAACTTGTATCTCTGACTTAACTGTATGTGACAGTTAACTAGTGTCCAGAATTCAACTTGAATATGGTTTTTAACTGTCTTGAAACATCCAGGACTTCAAGAGGTATGATCCTAAATCTCCAAAAGACTACCCATTTTCCTCATTCCAAGGGTCCCTAAATTAATGGTTACTTAGGGAGGAAGGCCCCTGACTTCGGACTTGCAGTTGTACAAGGTAACTGATATATTCTTTTTTTTTTTTTTTTTTTTGGTAACTGATATATTCTTTCAGAATTTAGCAAAAACGACATAACTAAAATGGTGACTTGGTTAATCATTATGCCACCGTTGAACTCTTAAGGTTTTTATTTAATTATGAGAACTTGTGCTCACTCCTCTGGAGTCTGGTTGTACAATTCAGATGTAAGCAAAGGCAAACAAGAATTAGGCGAATTTCAAAACCTTTAATAAAGAAAAAAAAAGGACACTTCCAAAAATAAATGCCACACAAATCAAAATTTTAAAAAAAGTGAAAGATATTCAAGAAACAAAATCCTTTACTATCAAAATATACTAAACACTTAAATCTAATGAAGTTGAGTGTAAATTCTGGGCGAATGTAGCTTATAATAATATACCTAAGCAGTGTTTTTCATGATATGTTTGTTTCAAGACATTACTTAATATAGTTACTTTTTAAACCTATATTTTCTTAAACATCCATTTCACAATTCATTTATTTACTTTTACATTCATTTATAAAAACACATTTTCTAACAACGGGTTATTTTGTGCTTTAATAGTAATGATCCATGGTAAAATACTGAAGTGATTTAAATGCTTTACTAATGACTACATCCATCACAGATTCTTGCACACTTAGACAGCTACTGCAATAGTCCAAAGAGCTACAACTCTTCTTAAAAATGACACTCACTCAAGTTCGGTAAGCATGCTAAATAATTAGAAATGTATTTTTTTTCCAAGTTAGAACATTAGAACTTTCTAGCTTTTTTTAAAATCTGCAAAGATAACCTGCTTATTTAAATCACTTTTAACTGGAAATTTATAAAAACAGAGGAAAGCATCATTTTAGAATTTTCTTTATAACATCTATAGTAAAAAATGGATGTCCTCTTTCAAACTGTGATGGCACTAAACTACTATTTTAAAAATTCTAGATTTTAAAATGTTAAGAAATACAATGTCCATTCCACCTAGAGGGGCATTTTAATAGTTAAAATATTTTTTAGGTCAATACTTTCTTCAGTGTGGGTGACACTGCCTTATACTCATCACAGTACTTTAGTAAATGATCCACTTAAAATGTGATCCAAGACAAACCTCAACTTACTCTAAATTCTCTTCTATAACAAGGGTCCAATGTGTATCATCCTCCAGACTAATAATACAGTAAACAGATACAAACCTAAAAGCAATAAAATTTATATAATTAATGGCAGTGAATGCCAAATACAACTCATTCTCACAATTTGGAATTAATTTTCATGCGAAATTTTATAGTTTTGATCCTTACTTATAATAATTTATTTCTTTAAGTAATCAAGACAAATAGTAGAAAAAGCATTTTATTTATATGGAAAAAGCTACATTAATATCTGTAAAAGGTGTCAATATAATATCGCCTATACAGAAAAAAAACTCAAATGTGAATAGCATCAAATAAAAGTTACACATCTTCCTACTTAGCAGTGCAATTAATTCACATTGCAATAAAGTTAAGTCAAGTATAACAAAATCAAAACAAGTGTTTCTCCATAATCAGGATACTGAGAAATTACAGTGTAAAGATCCTTTCAGGTTTAAGAAATCTGCAATCAATCTACCGAATACCCTAAGACAAGGGAGACAATTAATTCACTTAATTACCAGCTGTTGGGTTTTTCAATACTGTTCACAGGAAAAAGGTAATGAGTTGACATACATGTAAATAGAATATATTTAGTCTATACAGTAAAAAAATACAAATTATAAAGTGAGCTAACAAAGAATGAAATCTGAATACAGATTTATAAAAATGGTGACATCTTAGACAACACACACAGTATTTCTCATGTAAAAACATCTAGTTTCAGCAAAAAATAATCTGGTTGCTTTTCAGATGCATTGCAGATCTTGTAAGCCGAAGATACAGATGTCCAAGTATCTTAAAAACCATAATAAATGTCTTTCTCAATGCATACAAAATGACAAATGCTCTCATCACAGTCTTAAGGGTATTTTTAGAAGTTTGTTTTGTCTTGCTTCAGAAATACATGTAAAATGGGTAAAAATCAAAGGATTTCATGGTACAATGAAACAGTAAACAGTGCTCAATTTACTGCTAATGTTGAAAAAAACCTAGATTTTACAGTACTCTGGTATATAGGAAATATTTTTTGATTTTACATTGCATATTTCTGAGTCCATTCTCTTGCATGTCTGTTGTATCTGTAGGCATACAAAAGGGACATAGTAAAAACATACAAATTTAATCTTTTAGAAGACCTATTTATATAAAACTGTATACTCTACCTTTTTATACTTAACTGCAGTAATCATTCATATGCCAATTATTGGGTCAATGTGACTTAGGCTCATATATTAAACAAAACAGAGGTGATTTTTTTAACTGATGGATTTCTCTATAACCAATATAAAAACATGCCTAAATTACAAACAACAAAATAAGAAATCAATTTCTAACAGAAATCTATAAATGTCAACCCTGAATGGGCATTATCTGTAAACTACAAATGAATCAATGGTACCAGCAAGATGAAGCAGCTTGAAAATTAGGTCAGTTTGGAGGGGGTTAGGGATAACTTCTCTTCCTGGGAGAAGATAAGGAATACAATATTCAAGGCTTCCAATTATCAAATTCTTTTACTTTAAATTTACTACTTAAAACTATACATGTAGTTCTTTCCTACCAAAAAAAGACATATTATGCAAATGCAGAACATGTATTATTAAATAGTAAAGGACTAAACACTATGTGGGAAGGAATAATATCTTTTGTAAAAAAACCTAATAAGGTTTAAAAAGAAAGATTTCTTCCAGTGGAAAGATAAGCAAACTTCATATAAGTACAATAAACACAATTAAATGTACTTAAATATTTTGATAATACTTATGTTTTGGCAGACTACACAGAAATACACCCATACAGAAACTAATATAAGTAAACACTTACTTTTCTTTGTCTGATTTATAGATTTGTGCAATATCTGGTACTAAGGGGTCATCTGGGTTAGGATCACAAAGTAGAGAACATATGGACAATAAAACTAGATTGAAAAGAGAACATCACATCAGATAATGATCTTTCTGCTTTATAACAATTACATATATGAAAACGACTTTACTGAAATTAGACAATGAACTTAGAAAGAAAACAAAATAAAATGAGCATGTTAAATTACTTTTTAGACTAACTTTGTTTAGGAGCAGATATTTCTAATTTTTTAATTAAAAATTATAAAATTAGCATACAATGTGTAGAATACAAAATTACTATAATTTTTGAAGTTGTAAATTTAATTTGAATTTCTACTTATTTAAAAAAATGTGCATTTATAAAGTAGCTATTAACAACATTTAATCTGAAGAGTTCTCTATAAAAATAATTTTAGGTAACACATACATACACCAAATATGGTACCTAATCAAAACATTTTTAGAACAGCATCCTAACTTTAGATATATATTTTTTTTTAAGATTTCATTTATTTATCAGAGAGAGAGAGTGCACAAGCACGGGGAGCGGCAGGCTCCCTGCAGAGCAAGGAGCCCAATGGGGGACTCAATCCCAGGACCCTGGGATCATGACCTGAGCCAAAGACAGACGCTTAACTGACTGAGCCACCCAGGCGCCCCTAGATATTTCTTAAAGATACTTTGGTACTTTAATGAGGAAACTGTTCGTTTTTTATTTTATTTTAATGCAGAAAATCTATGTTCTAATCAATTCAAAGTAAAGCAAACAAATTGCAGTTAACAGTCCAAACCATTTTGGACTCATGTTTATGCACATTTTTTTACTTTGGCTTTAGTGCTACAGTTTGCCTACAAAGAAGAAAGATTTGTCAGATTTTTTTCAAAGAATCTTCTTTCCATGTCCATTATTTGTACCACACTCAAAAATAATGTGAACAGTTATCAATACATAACCTGTATGTTTTAAAATATAAGTGAAAATTGAAAAAGTAGTTTTCTTGCCACATCAAAATACTAATTCAAATAGCTACATTTTTAAAAACAATTTAAGTATCAGAAAGTAAGGAACAAGAACTCTGGTTCCTGATTTGTCTGTCATGACAGACAAAAGCATGCCACTGCTTCTGAGGAGGAGTATGAGGAATCTTTGGAAGAATATTTCATCTTCACTTTCCTCTACTATGTTCCTTTATCTTTTCCTACTCTTACAAATCCACAAGTGAATTTATAAAGCAGGGTTAATTTCTTAAATGACACAGAAAGGGGGTTGCTAAGGGCTAATGAGAAAAATTAGTATTTTATTCATCTTCCTTATCTTCCATCTGCCTACTAAAATTATAAGCCTTTTATATTAAACCAATAGGGTAGATTATCTGGGCTCACATCTCCAGAGTTTCTAGACTAAACTCATGATAAAAAGCAAAATAAGACCTTTAAAATATAAGAAAGTGAAAAATGTACAAATAAGCAAAGTATAAGCTACCTTATAAAATAAGCAAGAGGGAAGTTCCTCATTTCCCACTCCTGCTGCCAAGAGCCATGTGCTCTGATTTCACTATCATGTACACAAATCAGATGTTTTAAGATAAAGAGGAAGGTAATAAGGAGTTAACATTCATTTGAGTGCCTTCTATGTGCCAGATGCATAGTGACCTTATGTGGTAATACTCTTATAATACCCATTTTACATATGAGGACACTGAGGCTACGTGAAATTCTTCTTCAAGGGCAGTTTCCAGAAGACAAGAATACTAATTAATATTTATAAAAAGCTACCAATGTTAGAAAATTAGTGCTCAACATCTGGCAGTCTGCCATTTCTTTCATTTTGTGGTACCATTCCAGGAAAGATTATATTAATTTGAATAACCCTGTGACACAAAAACTTTCTTGCATCTAGTGCATAACAGTTACACTATGTGATTTTTAAAAAGACACTAGAATCAACATAAACATTTTATACAAACATTTTAGGTCAGAAAAACTGCTATTCATAATAACTAGCTGACATGAAGGGCTACTACTTATTTAATATTTGAAATAATTATCACTGTGGACCCTGCTTCCTATAAATCTAATCACTTTTAAAAATAAGTTAAACATTCAGGTAGCATTTATTTATTTATTTATTTTTTAAAGATTTTTATTTATTTATTGAAAGAGAGAGAGAATGGTAGAGAGAGAGCATGAGAGGGAAGAAGGTCAGAGGGAGAAGCAGACTCCCTGCTGAGCAGGGAGCCCGATGCAGGACTCGATCCCAGGACTCCAGGATCATGACCTGAGCCAAAGGCAGTCGCTTAACCAACTGAGCCACCCAGGCGCCCTCAGGTAGCATTTATTAAAAAGATTTTTTTTTAATGAGCATAGATTCATTCATCCCCTGAATCCTTCAAGAGAAATAATTTTCTTAAATTTTATAAAAAGGGAAAACCACCAAATTACTTCAGGGGCAGAAGCTTCTAACTCAAACAGTATTTTCCAATGGTCAGGTTCTCTTCTGCTAGAAAAACAAGATATGAATTAAGAGGGCTGGCACAGCAAATAGAATTGGCTAGTAACAAAAAGGCTTCAGAAGGTCTATGTCACATCTGATAATTTAGCAAGAAAAAGGTATGTATCTGTTAAAGCTGAGAATCCACATGGATTATGTTATCTGTCATAATAATGTTATTGGTTATTCAAAGTTTAGACTAACATGCTAAATGTACTGCATAATTCCAAAGTGTGAACTGTGTCTTTCATTTTAAATCATTTATCAGCCTAGTCTGGCATTTCTTCTTAGATGAAGTAAGAGATGTAAAGCTTTACTCATTACATCAACAATCCCATTTAATAAATGCGACAACTGGTCCTAAAATCTTATTTTTACTGTTTCTCTTTTAAAGCCCAAACTAAAGGGGAAAAATGTCAACAGGCTCATCCAAATTTCTAGCTCTAATGTATTTAAAGTTTGTCTCATTTTATCATTAAGATTTGCCCGTGAACCGCGCCGAGCTAACTGATAAAAGCAAAAGAGCAACAGAAGAGCTATGAAAGCAAAGCAAAATCAAAGCAGGAGAAAACAGTAGACTGTTTTTTTTTTTTTAAACTTTGGTCCCTAGATACTTGTGCTATATTTTTCTTGTCTCACTGTTTTCAACAGTTATAAATCTGATAAATGAAATTACCTTTTGATACAGTCAGAGCTGGTGACCATTGTGACCTCAGGATATCAAGACAAATACTTCCATTACTGTTTATGTTTGGATGGTAAATTTTTGTTGTGAAAGCAATCTAAAAACAAAACAAAAATGTGACAACCCACGAACTATGAACAAAACAGAACCAATTTGCTCTAGAGTAAAATGTCCTCAATTTTATATGACCTTAGAAGAGAAATGTATTCAACAACAAATTGAGCATCTACTTTGTGCACACATAGTTTTAGCTACTGGGAGTGTGAAAGCAAATAAAATCAGTTTCCCCTTGCCCCCCAGGAATTGAGAAGTATTGTAGAATTAATAAATAAATCTGTAATTGCTGGTATGACTAGCTGAGTAGTACTCTAATTAACTATGGCTTTCAACATCCCTCAAAGTAATCCTTTCCTTAATTTGATTATCATTTGATACCTGCAGTGACACTGGATCTAAAAATAGGGTGCCAACCCTGTTCCAGAGGAAAGTTGAGGGGCCTCAGCCTGTTACCTATCCTAAAGAATCTGCCGAGAATTCTAATCTTCCACAAGAGTTGTTGTTATATTGTTTCATATATATGTTAATCAGGTGTTTTTTTTAAAAATCTAAAATAATTATTCTGAGTGGCAGAATTTGTTAATAAACTTTTCTCTCATTGATGTCACCATCATTTATTTCCTCTTCAGATCCAGTCTTAAATTTAATGTAATAAGAACTCGTTTTTACTTTTCCTACCACACTTAATAAAGGGACTAGGTCGTATTTATTTTTGTATTCCCCAATGTAACAACACTGGAGGTGCTCAATAAATTTTTGTTGAATAACAACTTAAGAACTCAGAAATAGGGCCAACTTTCAAAGATAATCAATCCCCTGAATAGAAAAGTCTGATTCTTGACCATAAAAAATTTCCCAAACTACATATATCTAATGAGGCGAGGGGAAAAAGGTAAGGAAGCTAATATATAGTATAACAGATACTGCCTTTTGTCTTACAGATATAGTCCAATATTTGAGTAAGAAAGCATATTTTAAATTCAGTGATTTTTACAGAATAGTTTGAACATGCTAATCTACCCACAGTCTTTGACGTCATGTACATATCTTGGGGTAGAGAGTAAAATCCCTGACAAAGGAGTCACATCAATCATAAAAATGAAAATACCTTTGGTGGCTTAAAAGGATAGTCTGTCGGAAAATGTACAGTGAGAAAGAAGACTCCACCTTGATAGGCGCTATCAGGCTGAAATTACAAATATTTTGCATCAGTGATTACTGTATTTATTTAATAGCCTAAGATGATTTCCCCCAAATAGATTTGAAAAAAAAAAAATGCCATCATTCTGTCCTAAGTTCAAATCATTTACCTTGAAAACAGGTTTCCCTTTGCAGGTATGAAGGAAGAATCTCCAATAATCATGACGACATCAAAGTTAAACACAAAAATAGGACACACACAGTGGTGTGACTTACACAAACAGATCTTTTTATGAGTCTAGAGTTTTATAGACTGGTATACACACAAGATTGCTTTGAGAAAAGAAGAATTTTCTGCAGCAGTAATCAGTATGGGAAAAAGGGTTCGGGCTAGTATTTATTTACCTTCTTATTTATAAAACTTAAGATCTGATGGTCCTTTTCTTTTTTAAGATTTATTTATTTATTTTAAGAGAGAGTGCAAGCAGGGGTAAGGGCAGAGGGGGAAAGAGAATCCTGAGCAGACTCCCCACTGAGCAGGGAAACTGACATGGGGATTGATCCTATGACCCTGAGATCAGGACCTGAGCTGAAATCAGGAGTCCCACGCTTAACCGACTGAGCCATCCAGGCGCCCTGATGGTCCTTATGGGACAAGAATAGAGATGAACTAAAAAGACCAAGTTATAAAAAGGAAAGGCTATGTGACACACAATCCAGACCTCCAATCTTCACTTAAATACAGTTTATAATATAATGTGGAAAATGCAAAAAAGCTCAAAATAAAACTAGATAAATTCAATATTCATTGAATCAAATTAGGAACAAACTTTACAAGAGGAATTTAAATTTGGCCAGGTTTCTTTTTTTTTTTTTTAAAGATTTTATTTATTTGACAGAGACACAGTGAGAAAGGGAACACAAGCAGGGAGAGTGGGAGAGGGAAAAGCAGGCTTCCCACTGAGCAGGGAGCCCCATGAGGGGCTCAATCCCAGCACCCTGGGATCATGACCTGAGCTGAAAGTAGTCGCCTAATGACTGAACCACCCAGGCGCCCTGAAATTTGGCTATATTTCTTTATGGCAGTTAGAAAATATATTTAATGTTATAAGCAAGAAAAAATGATAAAGAAAAAAGGTAACAAAATACCTAAAATCTTATTTTAATTCCTTTATATATACACACATATATATTCCTATATATATGTATATATATATAATTTATTTACTTGTGTATTTGAGAAAGAGAGCATGAACGGGGGAGGGGCAGAGGCACAAGCAGACTCCCCAGTTGAGCGGGGAGCCGGGAATAGGGCTCAATCCCAGGACCCTGAGATCATGACCTAAGCCAAAGTTAGATGCTTAACTGACTGAGCCACCAGGTGCCCCCTCCTTAATATTTAATTAAATTTATCATGTTATATTACCACTTTGGTAATAATAGCAAGACTATCATTACTTCCTCAAGTTTCTGCATATACATTAGAAGACTGTACTGTATAATTATTCTTACTATATATAGTTTAATTCTAGTTCATCAAAACTCATAAGGAATGTAGAAAATGTAAGTAAATTCAAATGATATTATAGAATGGCATGTTTGCATTACTAAAATAAAGGGGGTATGAGTAACATAACTGTAACCGTTTGCTACTGTGATTCACCTAAGAAATATCTGTGAAGGGTTATAATTCAAATGGTAAGGGTGGGCCTTTAAATAATAGTATTTTGAAGGTTCTTAGTAAGCAATGAAAAACAACTATATTCTTAAAGTTGTTATTTAAATAAATATATTGCATTTTACCCTTAAAAAAACTAACTTAACAGTTTAGTAATTTGAGACACTTGCCCAGGACTCCTGCTCTAAAAATTCAGTAATTGTTGTTCTTAAAAGTGAAACACAAGGCAATATGATTAAAACCTCTATGTCTTACTAGATAAAATTCTTTCAGGGGAGGGAAGAGAGAATGATGTTCATGGAAGCAGGTTACCAGTATATATATTCTCACCCAGAAAGTAGTCAATGCCCATTCTTATGCAATCAGATTTTTGTGCCCAGAAAGAAAAGTCTGTTTCAAGTCATAACTGCCTCTTAGGTATAGAAAGAAATAATCTTAACAAGGGTAGTAAGTGTTAAGTAAAGCCAGTCATAAAATAGCAGATAATTTTGAGTTCAGTACAATACAACAAAACTAAAAACAAATTCACAAGTTGGCAAAGATAGATTTGTTGCAATTATCTCACCAGTTCTCTCTCACACACAGGAATAGAGAAGACAGTTTTTGCAAACTGGTGCTTGTTACTTGCAGGTATTCCATTACTGAGTTAATTAGACTCATTTCTAACCTACTAAAATTGGGTTTTTTTCACTAAAATTGTTGATGTGAGAATAAGTATGCTTAGTTCTGAACAAATGACTTTTGTGTTTAAAAGCAGATAAAGCCAAATGTATAACTTATAGCCTGGTTGCAAATTGTGGGTGATCCATGACTATGTGTAATGATCAAGGAATTGGCAAAGGAAAACATCACAGTGATCCTAACAAGTATTTGCCACCAGTGCTCCAGAAAATCATCAAAAATCCTTTAATTGTATTTTGCTTCCTGAGTGATTCAGAGTACAAGGAAACTCAACCTTAGCCACAAACATCTCATCAAAGGTGAAATGGCAAAAATGAAGTATGGCTGAGGGAATTATTTCATATATATGAATCATACTTACAGGTCCCATAATAGTTGCTTGCCAGTGGAACACTGAAACAAACAAAGGAGTTTTGTAGTCATTAACAAATGTTCAAACCTATATTATTAATGGTAGCAAAATCCTAGCAGGAAAGCAAAGCTTACAGTCATCTCCCACGGGTCCAGCTGAACAATGAGCAGGTGGGTCGCGTTGTAGATCACTTAATTCCTGAAGCAAAGCAAAAATACTTAAGGTTAATTGTTTTTCTAGTGAAACAAGCATAATAATCTATGAAGACAAAAACTATTTACTTTAAAATAATTTTAGGCAGTTCTATTCAAAATACAAAAACAGAAAATGTACTGTTACTGATTGGTAGAAGAGTATGGCAGGTACTAAATTCCTTCATGAGATATCTCCAAAACTTGAAAAAAATTAAATGGATTAAAATATTGTTTTTCTCTAATATCCCTAAGACAAAAATATTTAATCAGTATCTACTGCATGCAAGGTAATTTATATAAGTGCTGGTATATATAAGAACTACTATAAGAATGTTATACTCGACCATAAAAATAGATGAAGAACAACTTCAAAGGTTTACAATCTAATTTGGGAGTGATGGCTCACAAAGAAATGGATATTGAAAGAACAACCTACCTGAAGGTTAAATGGAAAGAAAGGAGAGAATTCAGGCCGTATGTGGAAGCCTGGCACACTGATTCATATGCTATCTTCTGCTCTCAAGGAAGAAAAGGAAGGACCATGGAAATAACAGTTTAGAGTTGGCCAGTCCTGGGCTGGCCAATTATCTGGCCAATTATCTACCATAATTAGCATTGCAAGCCTTGGGGAAATCACTCAACTTCCTTATCTTCATCCCAAATATGAAAGGTATAAATTCAATACAAAAGATCATACAGTAGGACTGAAGTACCTACTTTAGTTTGGAAGATCAGAACATGTCTTTGAGGCAGTGGCAGCTAAGATGAAAAGTAAAGAATGAGTGGGAGTTCATTTGGGAGAAATGAGTGACACTGTGAGGTAGAGTGGCCTAAGATGAGGCTGAAAAAGTAGGCAGAGGCTAGGCAGACAACTGAGAACAATACACACCATATTAAGAATTGTGGGCTTTAAGAAGCTGTATGATCTGATTTAAAAGATGGTTGACTGATCTTCGTATTGAATAGATTAGAGATGAGAAAGAGTAGAAGCTATTAGTTACTATAGGTGAGAAAAATGAGGGCTTGGAGTGGAGAAGCAGCAATGAGATAAAAGTGGACAGAAATATTTTGAAGGGCCTACCTCTCACAGGATTTGATGAATTACATGTACAGAGTTAAGGACAGAGGTCACAGATATGTATCATGAAGATTAGTGGCAGCTAACATTTACTCCTTGTTTTAATGTCCTAAAATCTCTCAGAGATAGGTGTTATTATGCTCCCCATTTTACAGATGAAGAATAAAGGCAACATACATCTCTGTGTGCTCATATAACTAGTACAGTGTGGAAGTGGGATTAACAGCCTGGCAGTCAAACTGGTAGGTAGCTTTTTAGCTTCATGAATGTACAAACATAGATTCCATTTACTGAGATTGGGGGAATACTAAAAGACAAGTTTTTTCGGAAAGTAGACATACTGAATTGGTGAAGCCTGGGATATCAAAGGAAAATTTAGTTCAACATGCAGGTCTGGAGCTTAAAAGAGGACTAGACTAGAAATTGGAAAATACTGTGTATACCTGGTATTTAAAACTGTTGGAATGACATAAACCTTTTCATGGGAACACATGTAAATATTTTATTTCATCAAATCTAAGATGCCATTGACCATAAATCACATCCTTATTTTTGTATCAATAATTGAGAAATGCTACCAACTAATTTTAAGACATCAATTATAAGATGCATCCAGATTTTAGAAATGCTAAAATGAAAAATATGTGCACCTTCGAATCATTGCAATATGGTAATTACAACAATGAGTTCAGTGTTCTAACATAGACGAATAAGGAATAGGATGTGGTAGGGAAAGGCTTTCCTAAGAGTGATATATAAGCTAAAAACTGAGTCAAGTGCAAGCTCTGGTCTCCTTCTTCCCTGTCTTCTCCAGTGTATCTTGGTCCTTTCATTTGTTTTTGTTGCTGTGATCTTCACAGCTGGTGCTGTACTCTTCTTCCTGATAAGAATTAACTAACAGAGTTAGCAGCTTCTTTGGTCCAGGTATAGTTAAACAATAAAGAGGAAGATTTCAGTCCTCCACTTAGTGATAATGGTTAAATTAAAAAGCAAGACTTTGAACTTCAAATTCAGGTGCCATTACTCACTTGCCACATGATCTTGGGCAAAACATTTCTTTTTTTTTTTTTTTTTTTTTTTACCTCTCCAAACCTTAATTTAATGTAAAGTGGCATTACTACTTTTATCCATAGTTTCTGTAACAAACAAGAGAAATGATACATGTGAAATGTACAGCAATCTCTGGCATATAATAAGCATTCAAGTAAATAATATGGAATGGATAAGAACCATCCAATTCTCTAGTAGCAGAATGCAATTATTTAACCAGTTTAAATGGTTGGGGAGGAGTTCCCAAGTCACAGACCCATTTGAGATGACTGTGCTTTATTTAATAGTTTTCAAAACTGGGCTTTTAGGAGATTGCTTCTGAAAATAATAATCATGTCGAGTTTTCTAAACATTAGTGTAAGTGGGTAAATGGGACTACTTTGCCCTTATTTTAACTAGAAAACTAGTTATTCTGAAAATAAGTTTCTGTAGTTAAAAAACTAGAATTTATTTGCATGTATATATTTTACAGAGATACTGTATATATGAATAAGTCATACCTATTCATAAATACACATATTTATTTTGTATACTGACAAAAAACCCAAAATTATACTTTATTTGTCATAGCACTGAATCATGTTCAAATTTCAAATGTTAGACCATTTTTCAAATCCCCTTTAAAATAATATAGAAAAGTCAAGGTTATCTTGTTCTTATATTTTTGTGCCCTGATTCTACCTCCTCTGTTAGGAGCAGTTAGAGCTCAGGACAAGAGAGAGAAAAATCTCACAACTGAACTGCAAAGGTCAGGTGCTTAAGTTGTCTATTTAAAGCTCACTTATTATGGGAAAGAGGCAGCTGACAGTACATCAAACATAATGACATCAATGCTTAGGTGAAGAGACTTACACATCCTAGACTCTTTAGGGGTCTAAATGTCTAATATTCTATCCATTTCTCAAACCCTGCTATATTAACTGAAACAATGGTACATGAGTGCAGACAGACTGACCAACAGAAAACAAAAGGACCAAATATATCCTCCCTCACCCACAAAAATACAGACCTTAAATTTGAAAAAAGAAAAATGAGGAATTCTGAGATGTGCTAAGAGGGTAAAAATATATAACAACAAAAATACAACCAAACAAACCAAAATCCCACTCTTTTGTTCTTAGCCTAGTCAGCAGCCAGTATACTTTTATTTTTTTTCATTTGAATTGCATTTTATTTTATTTTATTGTGTTTGCTCAGCCAACATTTAGTACATTAGTGTTTTGATGTAGTGTTCAACAATTCATCAATTGCATATAACACCCAGTGTTCATCACCACACATGCCCTGCTTAATACCAATCACCTGGTTACCCCAACCTCAACTCCCCTCCCTTCTGCAACCCTCAGTTTGTTTCACGGAGTCCAAAGTCTCTCATGGTTTGTCTCCCTCTCTGATTTCTTCCCATTCAGTTTTCCCTCCCTTCCCCTGTGGTCCTCTGTGCTGTTCCTTATGTTCCACATATGAGTGAAACCAAATGATATGTTTTTCTCTGCTTGACTTATTTCACAACATGCGAAATACATCAATGCCGATGCAAATGGTGGGTGTTCATTCTTTCTGATGGCTGAGTAATATTCCATTGTACATATGTACCATACCCTCTTTATCCATTCATGCGTTGAAGGACATCTTGGATCCTTCCACTATTTGGCTATTGTGGGCACTGCTGCTTTGAACATTGGGTGCAGGTGCCCTTTCTTTTCACTACATCTGTATCCCTGGGGTAAATATGCAGCGGTGCAATTGCTTGGTCATGGGGTAGCTCTATTTTTAACATCTTGAGGAACCTCCATTTTGTTTTCCAGAGTGGCTGTACCAGCTTGCATTCCCACCAACAGTGTAAGAGGCTTCCCCTTTCTCCAGATCCTTGCCAACATTTGTTGTTCCCTGTATTGTTAATTTTGGCCGTTCTAACTGGTATAAGGTGGTAGGTATCTCATTGTGGTTTTGATTTGTACTTCTCTGAGGGCAAGTGATGTGGAGCAGTTTTTCATGTTGACCACTTGGATGTCTTCTTTGGAGAAGTGTCTGTTCATGTCTTCTGCCCATTTCTTGACTGGATTACTTGTTTTTGGGGGGTTGAGTTTGAGAAGTTCCTTATGGATCTTAGATACCAGCCCTTTACCCATAATGTCATTTGCAAATATCTCCTCCCATTCCGTGGGTTGCCTCTTTGTTTTGTTGACTGTTTGCTTTGCTGTGCAGAAGCTTTTTATCCTGACGAAGTCCTAAAAGTACATTTTTACTTTTGTTTCCCATGTTTTTGGAGACGTGTCTTGAAAGAAGTCGCTGTGGGGATACCTGGGTGGCTCAGTTGGCTAAGCATCTGCCTTCAGCTCAGATCATGAACCTAGGGTCCTGAAATCGAGTCCCACATCAGGCTCCTTGCTTAGCAAGGAGCCTGCTTCTCCCTCTGCCTCCTCTGACTGCTGCTCTCCCTGCTTGTGCTCTCTCTCTCTAACAAATAAATAAATAAATAAAAAAAAAACTTAAAAAAAAGGAAAGAAGTTACTGTGGCCAACGTTGAAGAGGTTATTGCCTACGTTCTCCTCTAGAATTCTGATGGACTCCTGTCTCACATTGAGGTCTTTCATCCATTTTGAGTTTATCTTTGTGTGTGGTGTAAGAGAATGGTTCAGTTTCATTCTTCTGCATGTGGCTGTCCAATTTTCCCAACACCAGTTGTTGAAGAGACTGTCTTTTTTCCATCAGACATTCTTTCCTGCTTTGTTGGGGATTAGTTGACCATAGAGTTGAGGGTCCATTTCTGGGCTCTCTATTCTGTTCCGTTGATCTATGTGCCTGTTTTTGTGCCAATACAATGCTGCCTGATGATCACATCTTTGTAATATAGCTTGAACTGACGCATTCTGATG